CTTCATTTATAATATACGATTCAGCCGATTAGCGATTTGTTCCCATAAAAATTGCATTCCGGATTCGCGATTTGCCACCGTGAAAATCATGCCACCCTGCCGATCCACGATTCGCCCCCCGCGATGATTACGATTTCTTTGACCTGCGTTTCAGCTCCCCGTAAAAACCACGCAACTTACAATTAGCTTTGCTACCAAAAATTGTTTTTCATAACGATATCGATTGATGTTCGATTTGCTTATGAAATAATACCACGCATAGATTATTGACCGGTTTATAATTAGTTTTTCCAAAATAAAATCCCAAATCGGCATTAGTCGATTCGCGATTTCTTCCCTGAAATAGCATCCTACGATAATATATTAAAATGGAGTAGAAGTGTTCACGCAAAGGGAATCAGTTATCCTGCATTGACCCAGATGTATCATCCGTAAAAGAAATTCGCCAAAGAATTCATTACCGTAATATAAAATTGTTTGATTATTTAATAACCCTTGACTCCAATTCCCATTTTCGAAACGAGTTCCAAGAATAACTGCATCGAACTGCTGCTCGCGTCAAAAATTTCTTTCCACATACAATGGTCGCTATCGCGAACCGATTACCCTCCATTCCCAACGCCTAACAGCGGTGAAAAAAGCTCGGTGGCTACCTGACGACGGAAACGCTTCCTCGAAGCATTCCGTTTCCCTCTTCCCCTCCTACGTTTCCACTTATCACACCTGGGCAACGGGAGCCTCGGTTAGACACGCTTTTATTAGCAACAAAATCGCACGAGCTACACTGTACTCGAGGCACGACGACTCGTGTTCTTATCGAGCAGGTCTCCTCCTTCGGGTTCTCTGCAAATTGCTGCACGAAAAAGCATCAGCCCGGTTACCCGGTAGGTAGCTTGGTCGAACTTCCGCCGAAAGGACTTCGGTGGAAATCTTCGAGCAACCCCATCCCTCTGCCCCCGCGTAACGATCCTCTTCCCGAAAACAACGAGCTTGCGTTCCGAGTTTAACAAGATTGTCGCGTGCACATTGGTGCAAGGCACGTGGTTCGGTACGAGTGTGTTCTCGCGGTCGGCATCCTCGAGACGGTGGGTCGGGGATCGACGCCAAAAGCTGCAAGGATCGATTTCAATTTAGCGGCCGTTTAAGCGTGCACGCTCGTGGCTAACGAGCTTTCGAAAGTCGTAGATAGCCGACAAGTTGGCCTACACGGACGGCCGCGGCTCGGAACCACCCTTCGGAACTTACCGCAGTCAGCCAGCAAGCACCGCGAGCACACGTGTAACACGACACCGATAACTCCCCCTACATACCTATAGAATATAAGTACGTATACCGGTATACAGGGTGTTCCATTGTGGCAAGGCTGTCGGACATCTCTAAAGTACAGATGGAAGATTGTTAGCGTTGGCTAGGTTGCAGCCAAAGGATGCTTCCTTTAAAACATTAGTTTACGCGTGACAGGGGATGTACAGTGTTAGAAGGTTGTTGGATAACTGTAAAGTCAAGATGGAAAATTGCTTTGGTAGGTTAGGTTGGAATTTGGAGACGTTTTCTTTAATAGATATACATTACTGTGTTTGGTGTTCTAATATAAGATGGTTTCTGATAATCTGTGAAGTCAGATATGATTGGTTAGGTTAGGTTAGGTTAGGTTTTCTTTAAAACATATACATTACTGTGTTAGTTGTTAGTTGTTCTAATATAAGAAGGTTGCTGATGATCTGTGAAATCAGATATGATTTATTAGGTTAGGTTAGGTTTTCTTTAAAACATATACATTACTGTGCTAGTTGTTCTAATATAAGAAGGTTGCTGATGATCTGAGAAAGTCAGATATGATTGGTGAGGTTAGGTTAGGTTAGGTTTTCTTTAAAATATATACATTACTGTGTTAGTTGTTAGTTGTTTTAATATAAGAAGGTTGCTGATGATCTGTGAATTCAGATATGATTGATCAAGTTAGGTTAGGTTAGATTTTCTTTAAGACCTATACATTACTCTGTCACAGTTATTCTAATATAAGAAGGTTATTGATGATCTGTGAAGTCAGATATGATTGATCGTGTCACTTAAAATAATTAATAGTAAGTAATAATAATATAGTAATATTACAAGTAATAAAGTAATAGCAATAATAATTGCAATATAGTAATATAATAATACAATATAGCAATAAATTAATAGCATGTAATATTTGGTACGTATAATGTTACTCTGATTATTGAAATTACTAAGAATCTGTCTAAACAATATGGAAGAAGATTGATTAATTAGACTAAAGCTTGATATAAGATATTTTCCCATCTATGGAATACGAACGTACGTACTGATACACAGGATGAAGATGTCTTACTGCTCATCTGTTACCTACTTGTCCGATTATTGCTTGAGATATACCACTTACTTCCACCTATTTCTCTAAAAATCCACTGAAAACATACCTGCCGACTCTTTAAACAAAAACAGCAAACTCCACCTCGACCAGCTTCACTGTTACTTACACGCGTAAAACACAACCGTTTTAAGAATGCCGGTTTTTAAAACACGCAGTTGGAATTCTGAAACGGAAAGAACTCCGGGAAAAAAGGATTGCGGTTCTGAGCCAATTTCGTAGTCCGCCCAAGGCGAACTTATTAAAATAGTGCACCCTGTACATACGTACGCAGTGTGGTATATAGATACGTCGTACGATCTCGCGGTGGCAGGCATTGTTAACGTCTAGAAAGGATAAGAGCACCGTGGAAGGTGGCCAGGGACTGTTTTACTGCTTTTCCAACGGCGGCAACGGTGGTGGCGGCAAGTCGATGGTATGGCGTGCGGTTCTCCCCGCAAAGATTAGAGGGAGCGTGTATGCAGCTGAGGAACAGATTTACGTTCGGCAGGTAGATTGCACATTACCGTCGACATTTTGTGCGGGCACGGTTTCCGCGTGGCTGCGAGCTCCTCTTCCTCTAGGACACTCCTCTCCAACGCGACCTGTTCTTTAATTCCACTGAATGAGATATTATGGCGATTACCTGTGCCCTGTATTCTCCTAAACTCTAAACTCTCTGCCGATAATCCTATCCTCTCGCTATACGTGTATTCAATCTTTCTAATGATACTTGCTCCCTAACGATAAAACCAGGCTACGTGTCTTATATCGACGTGCCAGTTCGATGCTCCTTCGGCATTGATTTGTTATCCATGGTATCCACTTTCGAGTGAATGGTATTCGATACGTTCACTCCTAATCTATTCCTGTTTAAAGGATTGGTCGTGATTTAAATGGTACAGATGGCGTGCGAGGCAGTCCAGTGCTGACTACAGGTCGAAGTCGCAGGCTAACTTTTCGTTCCTCGGAGCTTCGTTTTCCGGAGAAATAAGTTCGAAATTCAATTGAGAACACGTGCATTTGTCTGATACTTCGCGTGATTGCTTTCGCTGCGGACCGCTACTACATTTGTTCCTGTATTCGACACAACGTGGTAAGGTCTCGCTGCTGCTAGGAATCTTGATATACCGACACTGTGTTACGCGCAGGAACGGTTAGTTCCTCTCGAGACAAGTATCCAAGTGCTGTTGGATCCTTCGGAAATGGAAACAAAAATTTATCGCAGCGAGGAACAAATTTTTGAGGATAACCGTGACGAAACTGCTCGACAGATTAGAAATCGATGGAAGAGATGCTTGTGTTATTCGATAGGATATTAATTGGAGAAAAATGGGTTGCCTTTTGCGAAGCTTCGCGTTCGATGAGCTCGATACAAGGGAAATATTTCGTCGGGGTATAGCGAGAGTACATTTGCTCTGTGTAATCGATGCCTCGCCAGTCAACGCAGCTTCGAATCCTTTTGTTTATCGTTCCGTCATGGACGGGTATTGCGTGAAAGCTGGCCAAGAATCATTGTTCTCCAGGTATCGCAACGAGCTTTTTGAAGCATGGGACAATGGTACATGGCACGATTCCTGTGATTGAACGTTTGCCCGGAACGAAAGGATGGCTGTAGCAGAGGAGTATGAAAGGAGGAGGCCTGATCAGATGTCAGGTATATTAGAAAGTTTTGCTTCTTTTCTTTCCTCGTGTTATTTTCACGTGATTTCCAACTATTCGTAAACTCTATTAGGAACTTGCGATCTGAAATATTAAGGTGCGAAAGGTTAATGGATAAGTGTATTTATGATACAATATCGCGTATTTCACGAGGTTTGAGATATGCGTGCAATATATATATATTAACTTTAAAAGTATATTAACAGTCTGAATTTTTAATAGCGTTAATAATATTAGGAATGATTATATTAATTTTTCAGGAATGCGAGAAATTAATTATGGTAATTGAGCAGAGTTAAAAGACTGCAAAATTAATTAATTAATCTCTTTAATTATCGTTAGAGATATATTGTCAGTCTTTTAAACGACAATTAGCCATTTCGTAAGAAAAATTTGAAATAATCAGGTAGAAATTAATGAAACTATTCTATCTTTTTCATTATTTGGCAAGAATCTATCACCCCTTTCAATATAATAAGGGATCAAATTTATATTTCGCTAATTTTCTCACTATGCTATCCATATCTAGTATAGTTAATTATTCGAGTAATGAGAAAGGAAATTGTATAGAGTATGAATTAAATTTGCAATATTCTTCAGCGTATGATTTTAAGAATTTTTCAAAAGATCTAATAACCATGTAAAGATAATCCCATATATTATAATATTCTACAGCCTGCTTCTAATTTAAGAACTAATCCCGGGAAATCTTCTTTCGAGATTGGGATTCCTCTTTGAAGTCTGCACTGTCATGGATCTGTGCTACTGATAAAAGAGAAAATCAGTATCACGGATCGGCGCGCGCGCGCGCGCGCACTGTGAGAATAGAAGGAATTGACAACGTGGAACATACAAAACCAGCCTTTTATTCGCATAAAATCTTTCCACGACGCTACAGAACATTTGAAAAATATCATTATACAGGCATGCGTTTCGAAAAACTTTCAGAACTCGAATCTGAGGGCGGACTCGCGATATAATAATCTGAATATAAAATACTCATTGTTAACATTCGACAAGCGTCTCTCTCATTAAAAATCCTCTGCGTAAAGGAACTAACAAACGTCTAAACTTCGAGAAACAGAGAAACTCAGCAACGTATCTTACACGTGTGTTCGTGTGATTTGATTGTTCACGTGATAAGGAGCAAATTCCACGATCCAAGGTATCCAGTTTTATCAATTGTGCTTTCAAACGTAGTTTACTTTCGGTAAACTGGGCGCGAGAAGTATTTGCACACAGCTGCACCGATCAATCCCATATTTCTCTCTCCTCCCATATTTCTCCGACGCGAACCACGTTTCGTACTTAACCTAATTCGAAATAAAATTAATTTCGTCCTCTTAATAATATATGTACTTTAAAACACCTTATAGAAAGGAAAAATTATATACAAATACTTTTCGCACCCGTCATGGTTCAAAGGCAGACTCTGTGACTTCGTTCCATATTGGAACGCTCTCGAACGCGTACAACATGGCGGTCGGCGTTGAGCGCCACGCGGCGGGCAGATCTGTAACTAAACGTCACGCGATGATATTACGGTGAAAGGAATTGGACGCAAAGCGAGGCGGCATCGCGTCGACAGCTTTCTAGAGACAACCGCGTGCGTCGAATTGAAAATGAATGGCTTCGTGTAAGGTCTCGATGTCTGAGGAAGCGGCCTTCGAGGACACCGTGTGTGTAGATGTGAGTATATGTGCGGGATAGATCCATTCTTCCATTCTTTTCCTATTCGTTCTCGACTTCGTTGCCCGAACGAACAGGTCCGTGTCGCCTGTTGGACGAGCAGTGACATCGTGTTATCGTTAGCGTGCACACGAGTATCGGCCAATCAGGAACACGTAACACTCGTCGCAAACACGAACAGGCTTCGTTGAGTTTGGTAGGGCAGTGGTATTATCGCTGCAGGCACTGCAAAAGATTTTGCCACAGTTCCGACAGTGATGCTGAAACAAAGACGATCAATGGTAAGTAACAATGAGGGAACGAAGTTTGGGATATTTTGAGTGGCAAAATCAGTTGGAAGAAGTGTATTTGGGTTTGAGATTTATGTCATATTCATTTCACATTTAAATATGTATTTTATTTGGTCGAAAGAAGAGAAGAAATTTGTTTGAAATAATACGAATTAGGATTTAACTAATGGAAATTCAGTCAGTAGTCGAGGTCAATAATATATCCGCTCTGGTTTGAATATATCCTGGTTAATTTAGTTTGCGTACTGGAAATCTGGTTTCTATCGATTTTCCAATATTTTTGGATTATATTTTATCTGTCTAAATTTGTAATATATATATATAGAAACTACCAGATTTATCGAGAGCTATGAATAATTAGAATATTCGTATAGTTTTTTAAGCATTCAAATTTCATAGAAGTTCAAAGATCGTAACATAAAATTTTATCACAATGTTGTTATTCCAATTTCGTAAATCTTATAATTGTTTAAATATTTTCTTTTTCAAGATGTAGAGGATTTTTTAACGAATAGAGAAGTCACTTTTCCAGAATAAATGATTTCTTCGTGAACCTGCTCCTGTTGCAAAATTTTATTTCATCGATAATACGAATTTTTCTTGATAGTTCATAGACCAACTCTATTTTATTCACAAGAAATTGTGATCAATCAGAAATTTCGCGTTATGGTATTAAGGAGAGGGGAGGGTAGGGTAAATAAGGAACCTAGATTTTACTTGAAATCTACATGGTCACCAGCTTTGAGAAACACTGTTCCAAACTAGGATCCACTCTGGTTAATCACATCTAAGAATATTGCGTTTTATCCCTTAAATTAAATGCCTTGATCTCGTTTCGACCTGCCTCAATCTCTTTTTTAATTCCAACCTAGGTCTAGGATCCGGACTTGCTCTTTGCTCGAGACTTCAATAAATGTTATTCTTAAATCTGTCTCCGATCTTTTTATTATTTTTAACCTCCAGTTGATGTTTCATTCGTTATAAATTGTCACTGTAATTGGTGCCTGTTAATAACAATCTATATCAATTTTTGTCTCTTGTTATTATTGATGATCTTAAGAATATCACTAACTGATGGAAACATTCGACAAATATTTTGAATTAAATATAGCAAAGATAATTAAATTCTGAATTATATCGATCTTTAATCAGTATCAATTTCGGGTCGTCGCTTGAAAAGTAATCGAATTTAGTTTAGTTAAGTCGGTATTAATTCTTGCAAACGCGATGCAGTAAGAATTAAATAGATAAATATAATTGTAAATCTGAGATATTTGCTGCTTGACCTGTTGCGAGATCACACGTTTCCCTCGGTTAGCAAATTAAGAATTATGGGACCGATCGCCGTCACACTGACCATCTTTTATTTCCAATCGATGCGGATCGAAGAGCTCGGATGAAAAATGAAACGAGTGACGTAGTCTCTGATTTAGAAAATTGCGAGTCAAGTGAAACTCGAGGTGGAAATTCTACATGCTTCCACGTATTAAGATAAATTACTTCACGTTCTTGTAAACACGTAAAAATTCATGAGAAAGTACTTTGCATAAATTCGGCTTGTCTGAATTTTTAAGAAAGAGAAACACACTCGAGCTATGCTTCCTTAGGGCCTGATAAGTTCTTTCGAAATAGATCAACGACGAATCTACGTCATTATATCGTATAATTACCTCGCTGTTAATGACAAAAATTGCGAATTAAGCGCGATGTAAAAGAACAAGGTTCTCTCTAATATTATTTACTTCCCGGCATTCTGTGAGTGTCGAAATGAAAATTAGTCTCATGAAAGTATTAATTAATTAAAATGAATGTACCCGTACGTCGGTGGCTGTATGAATATTCGTTGATCGGAGGTTCCACATGCAGTGCAGAGGTATAAAAATAAAAGTGGTGAAAATTCAGCGTGCCGGAAATTCTAGTAATCTATAGTAATTCTGTAATTGTACGTAATTACTAAAGTAGAACGTCTGGCACGTAAAGGTAGTTGAAAATCAGACCCGTGCATTAATTGCTTAATACGAAACAGACAACAGTGTTTTAAATTATGAACAATTCGTTTGGTCCAATTAATACATGTACAATGCAACAGTTCCACTTTGCATCCCGTTTATTGCTCAATCTCTCGTTGCAATGAACCTGTTCGTTCTTTCGCATAGGTATGAAGATCTCCGACAATGGTTCTTCCAAAATTCAGTTCCTGTAAATTGTTATTTTTGACATTTGACATTTCAACTAACGAGTTCCTATATTACCTAGAAATCGGCCTTGTTTCAGATATGAAACTCTTTCCTTCTGTCGTTCAAAAATAGTTAGGTTAGGCTAAATTAGGTAAGGTTAGGTTAATTCCTATATTATCTAGAAATTAGCTTCGTTTCAAACATGAAACTTTTTCCTTCTGTCGTTCAAAAATAACTTAGATTAGGTTAGATTAGGTTAGGTTAGTTCCTATATTACCCAGAAATTAGTTTCGTTTCAAACATAAAACGTTCCTTCTGTCGTTCCAAAATAGTTAGGTTAGGTTAGTTTATGTTAGGTTAGTTCCTATACTACCTAGAAATCGGCTTCGTTTCAGACATGAAACTTTTTCCTTCTGTCGTTCAAAAATAGCTTAGGTTAGGTTAGGTTAGATCCTATATTACCCAGAAATCGGCTTTGTTTCAGACACGAATCTCTTTCCTCAGTCGTTCAAAAATAATTAGGTTAGGTTAGCTTAGGTTAGATTACGTTAGGTAAGGTTAGTTCCTATATAACCTAGAAATCGGCTTTGTTTCAGACACGAAACTCTTTCCTTCTGTCGTTCATAAATAGTTAATAATGTCTTTATAAAGATGAAAGTTAATAAGAATTCGAGATCCTTTGCTATCCGTTGACCGTGATCAGGATTTCGATTAAAGCAATAAATCGCGAGATTCGTGGTCCTTGTTCTCGATATTTCTGGTAACAAAGCAGATAGTCAGAAAAAATTCCAATAAAATGAAGTCCAAAGAGCCGTGCAACACCGTTGGAGGATTTCGTTGGCGAAAGTCGAAAAAACTTCACGAGCTTGCACCTGAAACTGGCACACGAACAACAGAGCTTTTTTCACCCGCGAACCAGGCTGGCCCATTGTCCCTGTGTCAATTTCAGGGGTAAGTACATTTAATCTTGTAAAATATCATTTTCTTCTCTTCTTTCCTGGCTACCTCATATGTGCAGCACGGGAATAAAGTATGATGGTTGGGTAAGGAAATTGCAGAGAGTCTTGTCGTGTTATTTGCTGCGCGGTTTTAAATTGAAAGATGTTGGGATGAAGTACTATAGTAAACAGCAGACATCGAGTGTTTCTTTGAACACATCTGTAATTTCTGCGAATTTTCTGTGAAGTGTTGCGTAGTTACAAGTAATTTCCATGTACAGAATAAATATCGTACTCCTTTTTATCCTTCTTTTCGTTGGAAAAATGAAAAAATTCGTTGAGGATGGTTTAATTAATGACGGTATATATTTAATAAACAACATAAATTAAATTCAGTATGATTTTAGAGAATTTTGAATTGGTAATATGCATTTTAATTTAGTATATTAATATATTAAAGTAACAAAATTAATTTATTATATTAATTCACGTGTAATATTGAATGCACTCGAAATAAATTTGTTAGTACTATAAAAAAATATATTTTTTAGAAATTGGTAGCTACATATTATCAAACTACGTGTAATATTATTTAATGGTCCTGAAAAGTGAGTTATAAGATTGATTTAGAATGATAATAAATTAATATTATATTCGTAGAATGACATTGAAATTTATTAATTGTTTAATTACAAGGGAACTTTAATTAGATCGTACTTTTAAAAACCTACCTTGGGGAAATTTTGTTTAAAATTCTCAAGTATCCGACGAGTATGAAATCCGGTCTTACCCAAACCAATATTTTCCTCGGTCTATATTGAACACTGCAATAGTTTGAAAAATCTCTATCCTGTATCAAAAAATTTCTCAATTGAATATTACTGAAATTCGTTTACTGAGTTATGGATAATGATTATGCTTATTAAAAATGATTACTAAAATTATTTAATTAGTATGTTTGAAGCACGAATAAACCATCAATGTCTTTTTAATTGGAATCTTTGATTTTGCTTTCAAAATTTAAAAAACTTCATCTTTCACGTTAAGATTGTTGCGAGAGGAGTGCATATTTTACAATTCCAGATAATCTCAACCATTGCTTATCATATTACCAGTTGTAAATTCAAGTAGTGAATAATTTTTGATCATTATTATTATCGAAATTACCACTGGTAACTTCAAATTTCTCAAATTAATTGATCACATTTTTCGATATATTTAAGCAATTTAATCTCAATTCTGTTTAGAAATAATCTAAAAATTTCATTTAAAATACACGAGATATAATGAGACATAAAAACCAGTCTACAAACGAGAGCAAACTTTGTTAGAAAATACATGTAAAACATGGAGTGATCATCAAAGGACATAGAATTTCATTAGTCCCCTAATTTATGCCACAAATCAAACACCGCTAATTATACCTCATTTATACACTAATTTATACATCATGCCAACCTCTCCCAATAATTATTCCCTTCGTGACATAAACTCTAATTATCAGCATCGCTCACAATCCCTCCCGCACCCCCGCAGCTCGATATACGAAATTCCGCAATAACAAGTAACCGAGGAAAAACAAACGAACGGGAGAATCAGCGACAGAATGACAAATGTTATTCCTAGATGGGGAATTTCTGCTGTAAGCGAAGCATGAAAATGAACGTCATCGAATACTCGTCGGGGGGATAAGAAACACTCGAAGATTTGCAAACGCCGAGGATAAGGGGGGTACCGCGAGGAGGAACGGGGGTAGTTTATGGACGTCTATACGTTCGGTTGGTTCTGGCCCGGTTTCGATGTGCCGGTTACCCCACCCCCTATTCGGTTTCTCCATTACCCCGGTGGTCTTTAT